GTAATTGAAGCACGCATGCGGAGATGTAAATTTAAAAAAATGCAGTCTGTAAGCTGCTCAAGGTATTTACAAAAAATTACTGTTGGGAAGAGAGAAAGAAACATTGCTTTCCTTTGGAAGTACTCAGGAGACTGTGTTATGACAACTTAAGGCTTATAAGCATGTAGACAGAAAGAACTTGCTTTTGGCCCTCGGTAGATCTTATCTGTCCTTAATGTATTTTACTGAACCCTAGGTTAACTCATAGATGATATTCCTCTGGTTTGTTCAGCTTCATCCTGAAATATATTTTCTTAGAACTCAACTGCTGGTAGTGTATATGTTTGTGTTCTTTGATAGCTTGCAAAATTTGCCTCTATTTCTTTTTCCCTAGGGGACACTTTCACTATAAACCCAAGTTTTGTGTCTTGCAAATGCTTGTTTTCTCAGGCATGAAAGATCACTTATCTCCTTTGTATTCTTGGTGGCTAGTAAAGCTCTAAATTTTGAAGAAGATATTTTCAGAAAATTTGTCAGGAAAATCATTTGCAGATTTGCACACCAATGTTAGGCTTTATTCATATAGATTTCTCAGTCCATAATGTGTTCAAATGGCTGTCCCAGAACAAAGGCAATGCTTTTAATATTGAGGCCTTTGATCTCTTCTGCATGCTAATTATCAGTTTTGGCTTTCATTGTGCTGTTCCTTTTATTTCACTGGTGGATGTTTTCCTTTTTTTTTTTTTTTTTTTTCATTTTAGTTCTTTGCCCTGGTATTTCATATTAATTTTTAGAAATGACTTTTATGTGACTTAACTATTACATTATTGTCATGCTAACTTGTACTCTTACATTATACCTCAATATGATATTGTAAAATCACCAGCAGTAACTCCTCCTCATTACATCATTTTTATCCTATTATGCACAATAAGATTTTAATATCTCTTGAAGGTACAGTCTTTTCTGCCAAAAACATTATTTCACAATTGCTTTCTCTCCGTCTAGAGGTAGACTAGTTGAATGGTGGGCACCTTACTAGAGATGAATACACAAAGAGTGACCACTACCTTTCCATAAACCTTTCTCCCTAGAGCAAGGTGAATTGAAATGTTGGCTAAGGAGGAGAGAGCACAGAGAAAGGATAGACCTTTCAGGAAAACCCTGTACGAAGCAGAGGAGGTCTTATTGAAAGAAGTAATTTCTATGAAGTGACAAATACTTGAATCTAGTGACCACAGATGTTTGAAAAATAGTCAGAAAATGTAAATATTTGAAAGACATGTTTGTCTGATAACAACACTTCAGTGTCTGCACCTGGAAGCATTCTAAAGAGAAAGAAGGAAAGCAACCAGAAATAATTGTCCTATCTTTTCTTCTCAACACAGGTCTGTTGGCCCAGACATTGACAATGCACAGTTCAAGGAAACCTCTGAGGAGAGGAGATGAAGAGTTGGGACTCAGTGTGCAGGAGGAAGATAGGGAGCAGGGGTGTTTCCTCTTTACCTTTAAAGAAAGGCTCAAATCTGTGTTGAAGCAGCTCTGTCCTTATTTCTAACTTGGCTTCTGTGCTGCAATACCAACTCCTGCTCAGAGCCCTTGGCTCTCTGTTAGCATTGCACAACGTTGCACTTACATGTGCCTAGCAACACTTTCTAAGCCTGGCTGCAAGACTCACCTGAAGCCTCTTTTCCTTATGGGTGGATCACAGTCTTTGTCTTTTCTCTTGCAGTTGAACTCTCTCAGAGGACGGTTATCTTGAACAACATTTTGTCATTATTTCATGTGTTGCTGCAGACCTGTCACCTATCATCTTGACATCTTACTGGTCTCATTAAACACATTCCAAGATTGATTTCCTTTACAGTCTCTATGTTAGGTGTTTCTTTACTCCTGTAGGTATTAGTTAAAAGAGATCAATTCCACTGTACTGCATAGGGTAAGATAACTGGGGAATTGAAAGACCCTCTTCCATCAGTATAAGCAGTTTGGTTACATGTGTTGGCCTTTTCCCCTTAATGTAAAGCCAGGACTTCAACAGCTGAGGTAGTGTTTCTTCTACATAATTAAGGCAGTTTTAGTTTCTTTCTACATTTTTGCTTCCTGTTGCCTCTTCAAGCTGCAGGCCCCTTGTTAACCAGCAAACCATCTCTGCCTCCCTGAAGTATATTTGAGTCTCATTTTCAAATCTGTTCTCAGAGGCTTTGTACTGAAGGGAAAAGGTGGGAATATTTTAGAAATCTTTTTAGTTCAATAAATTTAACTTTAAAGGTCAAAAGCCTTCTTAATTCTCACTAAACTGTAGAGTTACATTTTTGGAGGCACACTAACGATTTCATTTACATCCCAGTGTGATGGTCTGCCATAAATTTCAGGAAAGACTTTTTAACTGTTGTAAATTGAATGAACAATCACAAGTCTAAAATGCTTGTTTTTAGTCCTGCAGGACATAACCAAAGAAACAAACAGAAAATGAAAGTGTAGCCCGTCCTTGTTGTATGTTTTGTATTTTTCTTCTTATATCTTCACTTTATGTTTCTCATGTGCTGATTTTCTTGATTCCAGGCTCTGTATTTAAGGTATTAATTTGTGATTGTCCAGGGAGTTTTTAATGAGTTAATTCCAAACGGAAACAATCCATTCACACAACTGTTTGTCAGTTGTGATGTCCAAACTTGAATTTGGAGACAGGTCCATACCTCTGCGTGCTTGCACCTGTGTGGGTCACATACACGTATGCAGGTGTGCGGTGTGCCCTGGTAGCCAGGAGGGCCAAAACATTGCCAGCTGGTTGAGGGTAGGGATTGTCCCACTCTACTCTGTACTGGGCCGACCTCACCTTGAATATTGTGTGCAGTTTTGGGCACAACAATATAAGGAAGACATTAAACTCTTAGAGAGTGTCCAAAGGAGGTCAGGGAAGATGGTGAAGGATCTGGAGGGGAGTCCGTGTGAGGAGTGGCTGAGGTCACTTGGTGTGTTCAACCTGCATGAGACTGAGGGGAGACCTCACAGCTGTCTAAAAGCTCCTTGTGAGGGGAAAAGGAGGGGCAGGCACTGATGTCTTCTCTGTAGTGACCAGTGACAGGACCTGAAGGAATGGCCTGAAGTTGTGTCAGGGGAGGCTTAGTTTGGGTATTAGAAAGAGGTTCTTCACCCTTTTGGTTGAGCACTGTAACAGGCTCCCAAGGGCAATGATGGCAGCACCAAGGCTGACAGAGTTCAAGAAGGATTTGGATTGTATTCTCAGGCACATGATGTGACTAGTGGGGATGATGCTGTGCAGGGCTAAGAGTTGTACTCAATGATCCTTGTGGGTCCCTTCCAACTCAGCGCATTCTGTGATATCATACATCTGATGAAACTGGGGCTTTGTTACTGACTAATGGAGAAACCAAAATAACTACAATCCTTTGCAACTCAGCAGTTTTCTCCTGAGTAGGACTGTCATAATAATTGTTTCCTACATTTTTTTTTTGCCATTAAAAAAGGTCTATGTATGCCTGAGAAAATTTGGAAATTAACAATAATATGAACAAGACATTGCCTTCCCCTTCATGAACCTTCCCTCATGCAGCCAGCTGAGAACACTAAGAGTGTGTTAGGTAATTGGCTTTCCTGCATCCTGTGTTTTTAATTACCTGAATATACAGTCAGCTCAAGGTACATTTCTTGTGCTCTAATGTACATTTCTTGTGCTCTAATGAATTTTAACATAAAAGTTTATTTCCAGATGGATCGGCAGTGGAAGAGCTTTTTGACTGTCTTACAAAATAATTTCAATTAACACATTGATATCAAAACCTTACCACACAAGAAATTAAACATAGAATGTATTATGTAATTGTGTGGTTATTTTATCTGAGGACGTCAAGGTGACTTTTGAAAAAAATGCAGCATTCCTTAGAGTTTCTTTATATGATGGCAGTAGGTTGATGTTAATTCAGGAACTGTTAAAATTTAGATAAAGTTTGAGATGCGTCATTTCAAGGTGAAAATAAATCTTATTTAAACCTTCCGTAGTATTTAATTAACTCTTTGCATTTATTTGTGACTTGAAAAAGAAAGTAAATGAAGCTCTTCTTGACACAGTGTTTTGGATTACAGACATCTACATGAATGTACTATGAGGAGTTTTTAAGCTGTGTCCTTTCTCAACTGAAAAAGCCCCATCTACTTGTGCTGTAAAAATGAGTGCAGCAGAGTTCATAGAGTATACAGGAATGTTTCATTAATGCTGCTGCCAGAGTAAATAGGTGCAGTTTTGACATACAATCTGCAATCTGTATTTATAGAAGGTATAGTAACAAATTTGTATGTTGGATATTTTTTGGGTTTGCACCTGCCTCTGATGTGACTTTGAGTATGTCATTTAACTTGTACATGCAGCTGTTTTTCCACTTGTAAAGAGAGTTAATAATGGTTTCCTTCAAGTGGAAGTTAAAAAGTTTGTATAGGGCTCAAGTTCTTGAGGAGAAAGGATTTCTATAGCAGAATTATGAAAGACAATGCAGGCATCTGCTGTGACACTGCTGTGAGCTCTGTTCATTGTCCTGTCCCATGTCAACCTACCACTTGAACTTGGCACTAAGAGCCAAGTAACTTAAACTTGGCTAAATAAAGCAGTAGTAATTGTATTTACCTACCTCTGTCAAAAATTTTCATACCTACATATGCAATGAGCTCAATACCTTGTAGCATCTGTTTTTGTGATTAAAGACTCTGCCATTTTGCCTCTCTCCTCACCCTTTTTAACTGTGAATGAAAAGTCATAATCAGCATTGCAGTCTGCACCTCCAGGTACATTTTGATTCATTTAATTTCAGTCAAGTTTCATTGCAGCAAAATATCTGGTCTGAACCTACTCCATGTACTTATTCTAATTGTAGAAGGTCATGGTGGTTTTACGCTCAAACCAAAAGGTCTGATTTTAGTCAACTGTCTCTGATAACTGTGCTTCATTTTGGTATTGCTGTAAATGTGTATTTGTCTGTGATACTACTGCATATGCTGTATTTCAGGAAAAGCAGAGATTTCTGACAGACGTCCTACATGAAGTGATGTTGCTGGATGGGTTGGCCAGTTCACATCCAGTATCCCAGGAGGTGCAGCAAGCCACAGACATTGACAGGGTGTTTGACTGGATTGCCTATAAAAAGGTGAGACTAATTAAACTTATCTATCTCTTTGTAATATAGATATGTCAGTAGCTGTCAAAAGATCATGTTCCATCTGTAAAACAAATACTGTGGTAAAACTACATACACTGCAGTGGCTACTACTTGGAAAACCAATTTATGTGGAATATGTTTGGAATATATTGTAGTGATTTTAGCCATTCAACATATCAAGTATTATTAAATGGTATAAATAAACTTGAGAAGCTCTCAGAATCCAGCAAGAAGATTTAGGGCTTCTTATTACTATTTATTTTGTGACACTGTCTGAATTGTGCTGGATTCTTTAAAAAGCATAAGGATGTGTAGTCTTTAACCTATTGAAACTCTCTAGAAAGCTTGTCAAGGGCTAAAGTTGAAATTTTTTTATGTTTTTTTCTATGCACGAGAATTCTTCTGTCATATAGTGAAAACTCATTGCTGAACAGTGAGAATGGAGAAACTACCCTCTGGGTTGGCAAAGGAATATGTGTTATTGTCAGGCAATTTCCAATTGTATTTCAGTGAATAGAAAGTCTTTTGGCCAGTTTTTGGACTGAACAGTTTCTGTGCAGGAGTGAGAGGGCTGCACACTTTCCCCTCCTCCATCACATGACTGGGCTTGCTGTTTTCCTGTGGCCTGAAAGCTGGTGGTTTCCATTATACTATATGCTTATTTTCTGCTACTGCCTGCAGCCTTCCCATATGGAGCTCTCCAATGACAAGAGTCATTTGACATCACCTTTGCGTCTAATAATCTTTTCTTTTGCATCATTAGCTGCCTAACAACAGACTGTAGCAAGACAGCAGCAGCATAGCACTGACATGGTGACTGAACCTCCAGTTTATCCAGTGCTCACTCTGGGCTAAAAAAGAGGTATATCCTCTCTTATAGTCATCAGTTATTCCTAGACAGCAATAACTTCACCTTGATCCTCTGGAAAAGGATCTTACGCCTTTTAGAATGGGCAAGTGTGTGTGTGTGTGTGTGTGTACATGACCATGTAATAGGTCTACAATGTAATATACAAACCAAAAATATTTAGGGAAAGATTTTGAAATACTGGAGTCATTTAGCAGCCCAAGTAACATTTTCAAAAATCCCTTAGCTAGCTTTGGAAACATCGTTCTTGGTCAATTAAGTTGTAATAGCCAGCCGCTCTTAGCCTGCTGAATGTTCTCATTGTTTAAATGTTTCAGTCATATGTTTGCTGGTGAACCTGGGTAGGTTCAGAGGCTTATCTCACATCAGTATCTTAATATTTCAAGCTAATTATTTTTTTCTAATTAATATGATAATAGTAATATCATGCAGTTAACTGTAATACTTAACACTTTGTCATATGAACACTATGCAAATGTTAAGTAATTTTAATTTACATTGAAATGACAAAATAGGACAGTAGGACAGATCTGTGTACTGTTAGCTATTTCATGTAGGCCAATAGGTCGGTTTTCTGTGCAGATTACAGTACAATCTCTATCTTGTGTCCTTGTTCCTTTTTCAGTGTAACAGTGGCCATAACCAGTAGATACAGCAGCATCTCCATTCATCTTCTCTGATGGCCACTTCCTGAACCCTAGGTGACACTGAATGCATTCATAGAAAGGCATGATCCTGTAAACTTTGAACCCAGTTACCAGTCTAGCAGACCACCTTGGGGAATGGCAGTGGAAGAACTTACTAACATGCTTGCATAGGTGAAGAGGTTAAAATACCCACTCTTTCACCCATTTTTCTGTCTGATGGTGTGTCTTTCTACTAGTCTCTGTAGCCATTCATCCTTTTGGTTTAGACACAAGCAAAATCTAATAGGAAGAAACTTTCCTGACTTGACTTTGTAGCTGCTCTTTTCACTGTTTCTGTACCTTCCTCCAAACACCTGACACTGTTTCTGTCTGAGGATAAATTAAACCNTTTTTTTTTTTTTTTTTTTTTTTTTTTTTTTTTTTTTTTTTTAATGTTCATCTTGTGCTTTCTGAGACCTTGGATTGTCCATGTGATCTCTTTTCTCTTTTTACAGTTTTCTACATGATATTGAAAGGATGAAACTTTCCCCATCTAATTTTTTTCAGTGAAATGACAGTCATAGAATGTCATTATCATTTCATTGTCTTTACTGTCATCAAGATGGCATAAATCAGTTAGATACCATTAAAGTGCCCATCTCTGTTAGACACCCAGCCATCATTTTAAAGATATGCCTCTTTTTCTTTCTATACACTAAAGATATGACCATTGAAAATGTGCTAATTAAATTCCTCAGAGTTGAATGTATTTTTAATTTCCACTTTCTTGTCCTCGTTGATTGCATATGTTAAGAAATCTCATGACACAAACCCCTGAAGAATGGCATTCAGGTACTCCCGTAAGCAGAGTGCAACCTGGCAGCACATGATGTTTTGCCACTTAAGCTGTTGAGGGTAATGCTTGCCTCTTTTAAAAGGATCCTACTAGTCATTCTTCAGGAGCACATCATCCTCTATTAGGGCCACAAATATGTAGAGAAAAATGTGAAGTCGTGATAGTTCATTAATAAACAGTACTGGTGGATGATTCAAGGCTCTCAAGTTACATCAGAGAGGGGATATGTCTTCCTAGTGCAGCTGGAAGTGAGATAGTGTCCTCCCACAATGACGGGAAAAGTGTTTATATCCCAAGTGCAGTAGAAAATATAGCCTGTTGAACACAAGAGTGGATCTGAGGATTGTTAAATCAAAGCAAAAAGCGTGACAGCCTTTTCACACCAGAAATAACTGACAGCAGGAATCATAGCCCTGGAGAGCTGCAGCATCAGAAGAGAGAGTGCAGCAAGAAAAACATGAGGAGCAATAATCAGCAAGGAACAACCAGCTGTAATAAAAAGGAGAAACAAGGCAGCTGCATCTCAAAGGGAGCAGCCAGACCCAGAGCAGCATGTGGGAGAGAGATCCCAGATAGAATTAAAGGAGTCATAGCCCTAGATGAGCAGCCTCAGCCAGATAAGGGAAGGGATGAAAGGACTTGTAGAGAGCCAGATATCTGAAGTTGTTTCCATCAGCCTGCTGGATGCTTTGAAGTATATTGGTTGAAGATTCTGGCAGCAATCAGAGCAGACAAGACCAGTATGATGGAGTGCAACTATAAAAGTACCCCCAGTAGAATATGTCTTGGCAAGTGACGAACAATAATCAAAACAAAGATGATGATGACTGGAATAGGGAAGAATATTAATTTTTTTCCCTTCCTGTAAGCAAAGTGAATCTCAGCAGTGAGATCAGTTACTGGCTCTGACTTTATAATGCAAATAATTGATTATTTCCTAAACCCCTATATATATAATTTCATTTTCCTACTTAACTCTATACCACTTCTTTTAAAATGATTTTTTCTGCTTTCTATGTCAAGTGATGGAAGGAAGATATATTTCTGATAGAGACCATGCTCCCTGCCTCCCTTCAAAAGCAACACTCTGCACAGGAAATCTGTTCAACTAAAAGTTTACACAAAGAAAAATGCTTGGCTTCCTGTATATTGCAATAACAATATTTGCAAAGGAGAATTTAAGAAATTGAAAGCAGTGGCTTGCTCACCTTCTGAGTGTAATTCTTTCTGAAAATTTACAGCATAGCATGTTCTGCAAGAATGTAGAACAACGGGAGGACTAATGCAGTCATTAGAAAGGCTCTCCAAAAACTATTCTTTTTTACTTCTATTGCTCAGGCACTAGGAAGGATATTGGCACTGTAATTAAAAAACTAAAACAAAAAGAACCCCCATTGCAAACATGTATTCTTTCCATTGAAACCAGAAATATTAGTTTGTAAGAAAACGCATTCATGAGTGCAATGAAATTGTGATGATGTGCATCTGTGAAGTGACCACAGGAGAGTGAGAGTAGCTCATTAATAGTGGGGAAAAAATTGTGTATAAATAGTAAAATAGGTTTTATTTTTAATTTTTCACTTGGTTAAATCAATAACACAACATAGTATCCAATTAGTTAAAAGTCTTAAAATACAATACAGGTGACTTTAGAACCCACTCTCTTACTGCAGTATAAAAGGAGAGCTTTTTGTTCTCCCTAATTTAGCCATGATGTTGTCTGTGAGTGCCATTAACTTCTGGGTGCACATTTGCCTGATGCTGATTTCTCTTCCATGACTTGTGAGTCCAACAGGTCAGTGCCCAGATTGCAGAAGGTGCTTTCAGGAGCCATTTGTTCCTAATGTATTGTAACAGAGTAGGTATCTTGTAATGAAAATAATGTCTTTCTGTTTAGATAAAAGGCTGTAGGTTATTACTGCTTCCAGTATGAAAGTCATTGAAACTCAATCAGTGAAACCTATAGGTTCAAGTTCAGAGCAGCCCCAAGAGTACCTGACTTAAAGTATACAGGCTGTCCCAGTCCAGCTGGTGGGTGCCAGTACATAAAGCTAGGCAGGTGCTTCAAGATACTTAAAATACCTCTCTTCAGCATCTGCACACCTTCCTGACTCAAGCAGGAAAAACTGTCATTAACTCTTTACACTGTTTAGTATATGCTAAGATATTATTTTCTGAAGAAGAAATATAGAAACCACTGTGTGTGATATATAAGCAGCCACACGTGGACAGTGCTTCAGGAGTGTTATGTTCCCCATACCAGGGACAATTATATATGGGTTTGATTGGAAATAATAAAGATGGTGTACAAATGTTAATAGGAGTATTTTATTTAAAGAGCTCATTAGACTGCTGAATTCTGCACCTGAAATGGGGCAACCCTGGATGTTTGTCCCCCAGATTGGGAAATGAGGCGCTGGAAAGCAGTGCCACGAAAAGGAACTTGGGGGTCCAGGCTGATGGCTAGTTGAATATGAATTGGCAATGCCCTGGCAGCCAGGAGGGCCAACCGTGTCCTGGGGGGCATCAGGCAAAGCATTGCCAGCTGGTTGAGGGAGGGGATTGTCCTGCTCTGCTCTGCTCTGCACTGGGGCAGCCTCACCTTGAATATTGTGTGCAGTTTAAGAGTATAAGAATA